GCAAAACAGCCCTAAGAAGATATTTATAATTTCTGTAAAACATCGCACAAAACAGCCCTAAAATGATGCATTTAGGGTCTCAAAAACAGCCCTTATAATCTATTATCAACCCCCATAAAGATATATAAAGAATATCTGAATACGTGAACCACCATTAAGCTTTTCAAAATTCTCAAGTATATTCATAAATATAAACCTGAAGTGCTTCAAAACAATGTTTTGCAGAACAATTGTGGATTCATCTACCAAAGTTGGTGGCCTTTCAAATTCATGGATAAGAAAAGGTATCAAATTTAGTGCAATTAGGAGGCAAGAAAAGATTAAGAGAATGGCCAAACACAGAGAAATAAAACTGATGCAAGAATCCATAAAAAACAAGTTTATTTTGCCCGCATGTTAATCCTGGCTTAAGTTGGCTAGAAAAATTTAGTTGGATGATAAAACTTGCAGTTCACTACTTTGCAAAGCTCCAAAATTAGAAAATTTGCAACATCAACAGAGAATGCAAATCCATTGTACTTATTTCAAGAATATCTCTTAAGGGAGTGAATATTGTTCAAATAGAATTGGCTTAAAAGTCACATTTGTAAAATTATTGGGGAGCATAATTTCCACCAGCATGAACTCATACAGTCATACTAACAAAAACTTCCACCCTCATTGCTTCCTCTTTCGCAGCCACCTCATTGAGCCATGGAATCCATACTTCGTACTCAATAATGTTCCATCAAAATATGTCACTCAAGAAAGAAATATAGATATTCTATATAAACCATAAAGATATATAAAGAATCAGATTTGTACATGGAAATCTAACCTAATAGGCAAGCATGAAGATAAACTAGAAATGTTAAAGAAAATATACTAAAAAATGACGTTTCGGTGGCCTTACAAGCAACCAAGCAAGAATATCGAGCACTGAAACAAGAATATCGAGCGCTAAAGCAAAAATACCGAATAGTTGATCCAACGCGGCAACGCCTGCTTTATAGAAGACAAATAGAAGTAGAGATCAGAGAAAGAACACAAACATACAACCCTAAGCTTTCGTTGACGATTTTTTTTGCGATTTTGAGGCGAGGATTGAGGAAAGAACCGGACGAAGGGAGCGCCGAAAGCTTTTCGAGAGGGGAGCGCCGAAAGGATGAATCGCAAATAGTAGGGTTAGCCGATTAGGGTTGCTGCCTGTGTTTTTATATTTTAAGTTATGTACTTATATTAATATATATATATAATACTTTATATTAATTATAGAATTTATATATATAAAAATATTTATAATACTATTTACTAAATTATATATTATAATTTATAGGATTTAATATTTTAAAATTTGATAAATTTTTAATATATATAATATAACTATTTTTAAATTTCATAATATTATTTAAATTATTTATATTTCGAACAAAAACGAATCGAACACGAACGAACGGGTCATTGTTCGTGTTTGGTTCGTTTAGCAATCCGAACAAAAAAATTTGTTCGTGTTCGTCTCGTTTGCTTATCGAACGAACCGAACACGATCTGCTTCACGAATCGAACACGAACTGTTCGCGAACAACGAGCTTTTTTGACAGCCCTAGTCTTATCCACCCTAGCCAAGGACTTAGGGTTTGGGAGACCGCCCACATGGGTCTCCAAAGAGGCAAGGGAACCAACCAAGACATGTGCAGTAGGGTTCAAGGTTGCAAGTGGAAGTGTGAAGTGCAAGTGTGTACTAGACCAAGCCATTATCATCCAAGGTCAATCCTAAGATCAGACAGTCTTATGGGGAATCCCTCTTGAGCTCTCCTATATTGGTTCCACCTACTAAGTGCTAGAGGTTGGAACCACATGTGGAATTTCAAGATGAGCAAAGAAGAGTTTGGAATTTCTTTTGGTGAGGATACCATCACTAGTCCTCTAGGAATAGTCAACAGGAATGTCCTATAGCTAGACTAGACCTCAACCAAAAATGAGGTCAACAATGAGCATTCCTCTTCTT